GATCAAGCTAAAAAGATCATTATATTGAGTCCAAAGAAGTTCTTTGAAGAAGTATTGAAACGGTTCAACATGAAAGAGTGCAAGTCCATTGGAATACCGTTGGAAGTAAATTTGAAGTTGATGAAGGTCACGAATGAGGAGTTTGGTGAAGTTGAAGAAGAAATAAAAGATGTTCCATACAAAGCAATAATAGACTCACTTATGTATGCAATGGTTGGTACAAGGGTGGATCTTGCATATACAGTGAGTGTTGTGAGTCAACACATGTCAAAGGTTGGACCAATTCATTGGACAACCATTAAGACAATCTTGAGGTACTTAAAAGGTACTTTCAACTTCAAATTGTGACTTGGAGGTGATAGTATTACATTGTATAGATATGTAATACAGATTGGGTTGGAGATGCAAATGATAGAAGATCAAAAATGGGATATGTATTTTTTGTTGGAGTAGGAGCAATTTCATAGAATTGCAAGAGACAACTAACAATTGCAAGGTCTACAATAGAGGCAGAATACATAGCAGCAAGTCATGGTGCAATGGAGGCAATATGACTAAAACAAGTTTTAGAAGACATTGGACTTGTGCAATTATAAGCAACTCCAATGAAGTGTGACAACCAAAGATGCCTTGCTTTTGCTTAGAACCGAAAGCATCATTCAAGGAAAAAGCACATTGATATTCAAGATCACTTCATATCGAAGAAGATTGAGATGAGAGTGATTGACATGAAGTATTGTGCAACAGAAGACATGCTTGCAGATTTCCTCACAAAAGCATTGGTGAAGGATAGACATTATAAGTTAACAAAGGAATTAGGTTTACTAGCCTTTGACCAATAGCAAAGTGGGAGTGTTAAAGTAAATAGAGAATAAGTTAGAATATAAAAGATATTATCTTAGATAAGTTGCTAATGGTCAAAGGCTAGTAAAAAGATGAAGGAAAGTTATCAAGGTGGCGGCTAGGTTAAGAAGAATCTAGGATTTAATTGGATAAAAGTAAGATGAAGTCTAGCCAAAAATGGATGTAAAATTTACTTATAAGTAAAGGGTGTTGGAAGTGAGAGGCATCTCATTCCACACTTCTCTTCTGTCTAACCTTGTTATTTTCTACTTACTTGTGTCTTGCTTATTATGTTTCTTTAATAGTTTCTAACCTACTAATCAATGTTATGTACTATCTTATAATGTCTTATAAGATGTTTAATATATAAATTCTAAAAAATTATGTATTATTTTAATAACATCTTTACGATCTTAGATATTAACTATAAGATTATATATAAAATGTATATTATAAAATTCTTTCCATCACTTTATAATATAATAAAAAAATTATTTTATAATAAAGTATGGCAAATAATCACATTATCTTATTATAATCTTATATTAATTTATTTCAAAGCTTATAGTCTTAAAGTAGATACATATTATTCTTAAAACTATTATATTATATCTAAAAATATATTTTTAAATTTTAATTTTAAAACAGACTAAAAAAATGATATTATTAAAAATATGATCATGATTATGAAATAGAATAGTGGAGGGAAGAAAGAACCTAAAGTATCTTAGTGTAAAAGCAAAATCACTTTGTATGCAATGATGTTTTATTTTGACAAGATGAATAAAATGATATAAAATTGGACTTTATAAATATCTCTTTATTTTAATTATTATTTTTCATAATTTGAAATACCAAAAAAGAATTATTTAAATCAAATTTTAATAAAGAAGAAGAAGATTTAGATTGGTAGAAAGAATCATGGTACTTCTTAATAAGAACTACCATTATATTGCATGTAGTACATTTTGTTTCATATTTATTATCATTTTTTATTTACCAAACTTTAAAAAAAGAAATATGGTGAGTTTAAACCATCTAAATCAACTACCATATCTTAATCAAAAGATATGAGGGCCTATAATTATTTTTTATCTATACTTTGTAGTATATTGAACTTTGACTTTATATTATAGTTTATTATTGTAACTTGTGGTATATTAAAATCCCCTCTTCCTATCCAATGGCATGTTTAGCTTGATGGTTATTGTACCTATGGTTAATTGACACTTATCATAAATAAAAAAAATAGTAGAAAAATGAAAGTTAATCTTGGAACCATAAAAATTAAATATAATACCCTAAGAATCAATTATTTGAATTTTTTTCATGGTTTTTCTATTGTATCACAAGTACTCCTTGCAAGATAGAATTTAGAAGACATTAAGAGCTCAGAGAGACTTTTTTTTTGGTGCCAAACAACAATAGACATTGATATTTGTGATGGATTTAATAAATTTTTCTACTTTATTTGGAAGGAGTGCATAGCATTTTTTTCTTTTATGGTTGGAAATAGTATAGCAACAATGAAGTTAGTCAAAATTATTGTACTTGATATTGAAAGATCTCTAATTTTATTCATATTATTTTCTATAGTCTATAATTTAATCAATAAGTAACACATTTGTATATTCTAAAGATAAATATAATATAATATTCTAAACTATTAAAAAATATTAAAAAAATAACAAATACATAAGCAAAAAAATTCTAAACAACAAAGATATTTTTTATTTTTTTAAGAGCTTATTATTATCTTATATAATATTCTAATATCTTTAAAATTGATAAATTTATCAAAATCTCTTTTATACTACTACTCCTAAGTTGATATTTATCCTTTACACTATTGCTTTTTAAATCTAATATATTTAACTTATAAAAAAATATTATTTTAAAAATAAATTTTTATTATACATAATTTTCATAATATATTTTTAAGTCTTTAAAATATAATATTATCTATTACTTAATAATTATTATACTATTCTTTTTAATAATAATATTTTTATTTTTTATTTTTTTATTTTTTTATGTTTAGTCTTTATTTTTTAGCATGATATTTAGGCTATTTTTTTAAAAAAAATCATTATAGTCTATGACATTTAAAATGTCTCTATAAATCAAATATATACTAAATCTATTGCAAATTATGGTAATAAGTAAGTCCTTGGTTGTAGGGTTTTTATTAATAATTCACTTATTAAAAGGCTATTCTATATATTATTTGATGGAAAAAAAATAATCAAGTTATCTTTTTTCACCATTTTGCTAAGAAATTATATTTACAAATTAGTGATTTCTGTTCTTTAAGAATTTTTGATTTACTTGGAGCCAAATAATCTATTAAGTTATCTATTTTGAAATTACATATAAAAATTGTATCATATCTATTAGCTTGTGTAGTTTTTTTTTTTTTTTTTTTTTAAATACAAATTTGAAATTAAAATATAAGCATCAACTCTTCTTTTACCACTTACAATTTATTTATTATTATTATTATTTTTTTAAATCCTCCTTCTATCTATATATTAATTCTTTTTAAGACCATTTTATGCAATTTTATTCTTTGATATTGTTGCTTCATTTAAATTTGATATATTTTTATTTAGCCTAACAAAGTGATGAAATTTTTTATCAAATGATTTGTATTAAGATAAAATTGGCATCTAATAGAAAAATTATTATAATTAACTGAAATAAATTTTTACTTTGTTATCAATGGATCCATAACCAAAAAAAATTAATTTCTAACTTTCAGTAGATGGCAAGATAATGCAAAATTATTTGTTATATATTATTTCATCTTATTTATTTTTATAAATATTTTCTTAGAAATATTATCACATGCAAGGTGACTATTAATGATTTTCTTATAAGTCCTTTTAGTATTTTCTAAGTTAAGACCTTCACCATTCCAATTCTATTTTATAAATATAGATTGAAAATTTAATTAAGATTAAAAGTTGATTCTCATTGCAAAATTTATAAATTCTAAAGATTCTTTAGAATAAAAATTGCACTAGGATTTTCTTTATAAATTCTTCTAAAATAAAAAAAATTAAATAATACTCTTTTCTATTTTTATTAGATCTTTTATGTTTTTTTAGTCAAATATCAAGTCGCTTATAGTAAAGTTTTTTCTTAATAAAGAATGTATTTTTAAGAATATATATTTTTTTCTAAAAGTGTCATCTTTGTTCTTACCACCTCACTTTCTATATTAATTATGTAAAAATTAGTCCTCACTACAATGGTTATATAGCTTCATAAAAGACCAAAGAATAGATTCTTCTTTGGGTGGGCTTTATAAAATGAAGTTGTTCCATTTATTCTTCTACAATGCATTATTCTTTATTATATTTCAACACAAAACATGATGTTCTAGTCTCCCATCCACAATCATTATTTTGTAAGTTCTTTTAACTTGCATTGATTTCTAAATAATTATAAAAGACGTAGATAGCCATTATTGTTCTCTAACATAATCCTAATTTCTTTTAAAGTTTTAGTTGCCAAAAACTAAATAAACTTAAAGAACTCACTATTGTCGCAAATATCACATTTTTCTCTACAACATATTACCACTTGTCTAAAAATTAATCAAGTATAACATGCACTACACCATTAACAAGTGCAACATTTTTCTCTACAACATATTATCACTAGTCTAAAAATTAATCAAGTATAACATGCACTACACCATTAACAAGTGCATTGTATAGTTTGCTTGATTTTCTTAATTGTAAACTATTGTTCTTTGGTTAGATCTCCTAATGTCCAATAAGATATGTTTAAAGATCAACCATTATATAAATAAATTATATTTTACAATCTATAAGATAGTTCAAGTAGGCTTCATGATACTTCTTGAGATGTATTTAAAAATTATTCATTTTTACAAATAATTTTTTATCTACAATTTATAGGGCAAGCAACTTGATGGGAGCTGTGGGATATGTTTAGAGACTAACCACTTTTATAGATGATTTTTTTGAAGATAATTTGTTGAAACGAAGAAAAAAGATGTTTTGTCATTCATTTTATAAACTTGCGAATGCCAGGTCTACCACCCACAAAACTACACACTCAAGCTTGAGGCGTTTTATATATTTTGGAGGTACAAAGAGGACTGTGTGAAGAACCCTGCAAGGATATCAAGGAACAAGCCATGGTAAGAGCACAAGCAAGTGAGACTTGTGGCGACAAGGGCTTTGTGGATAACATAATGGTAGATGACACGGTCGAAAGCACTGCAGCTCCTACCAGCCTTCCACGAGCTGAGGAGGAGTGTGGCACCCTCCAGTATCACAGCCATCGCCTGCACGGCTTGGAGCAATTCTCCATCTGATTGTAGCACTCAAAGTCGCATCTTGGATCGTGGGTATTTTGGGTTTTCCGGTTTTTGTTTTGTTTTGTTTGGTTTTTTTGTTTTTTTTTTTGTTCATTTTGAGGCTGTATTCGCTGCCATGGTATCTGCTGCAGCTGTCCTTGGAGTCATGGCTTCTGCGTCTGCCTCGTCCCTTCTTCTCCCCAATAGGTGCCCCTGGCGAGGCCGCAATGGGAGCGTCAGAGTTGCTCGCTGGGCGTCACTGCCTGGATTGAATCTGGTGAAGGCTGCGTCGTCTCGAAGGAGGAGTGTTGTTGCTGCTGCTGCGGTGAGTTGAGTCAATTCTCCTTGGTTTGAGTTGAATTGGGCTGCCAGGAGTCGGTTCCCCTGCACGTCTGTTGCTCAGCATGGTTTTCTGCTACGCATGAGGATTTCTTAGCTGTTTTGAATACCAAAAGTGTATTGCTTTCGACATTGGATGACTTCGGTTTCTGTGAAGTTGTGAGATCGTCGCGTCTCTCTTGTCGAGAAGGTTTCGTAGTTTAGAGTTATAGTAATTTTGTTTTGCAGTAATTAGATCTGAGTTTGTGTTGGACAGCGAGCAGGACGACCTTGAGCAGAAGCAGACCGAGCAGCAAGAGCAGCAAATTTTGCAGGATGCCTTACAGGATACTATGTCGAATCTTGGGGCCAAGGGGGCTGAGACTAAGAGTATTCTCAAGTCCCGGGAAGGTATACAATTTGAATGCTTAATTATGATTTTTATGTTTTAAACTCTTGTAGAAATTCGATATAGGGAACAAACAAGTAACCTCCATGTAATTTACATATGACGAAATGTTAAGCTGCATGTTTCTTGCTGTTGGCAATATCTAAAACTTCACATCGTACAAAGGCCAATCTATTAATTCATGGAGATGCCCATTAGCGAGATAGCTGTAGTCGTTTAACCACGACTTCTCTGAATTTTATAGACTGATCGCACTTGAAACCTAGTATTTTCGCATCTCAAATCTACTCACGGTATTGTTTAGACCTAACATGGAACACCCAAAATCTACGTACACCACGGTTCATTATTAATTACAACGACACCTTCTCCTCTCGACATAGGAAAAAATTTTCACTAACTAGTTCTTTGTGATTTTGATTGTGATTGACGTGTTCTGCAGGATTGGAGGAGACATTTGCCGTACTCAACACCGGCGCATACGCGTGCCGATCGTGTGGACATGTATACGAGGAAGCGAAGGGAGACTCATCATACCCTGTGGCTGCAGGCACACTATTCCGTGATCTTCCGGAAGATTGGCTCTGTCCCACATGCGGTGCTGCCAAAGGCTACTTCCAACCTAAGAGTGTAGAGGTGGCTGGTTTCGCTCAAAATCAACAATTCGGGTTGGGCGGGAACACCTTGACGTCGGGACAGAAAAGTCTCTTGATCTACGGCTCCCTGCTATTTTTCTTTGCCCTCTTTCTTTCTGGATATTTCTTGCAGTAGCCGTAGCTTGTGCACGTTCTCGCAGGGACGATGCTTTGGGTCAATGGACATCTACATGGAGTGGGGTATTGGCCTTTGTACAATGCAGGGTTTGAGATCTTGCCAAAAACGATAGATTTGTAGCTTATATTTTGTCATTTGTAAATTGAATTGAGGTTGCCTGTGCATCCCCCCCCCCCACACACACACCAGTAATAAGAGAGTTTGTGTTATTGAAGCTTCTAATTTGATAATGTAAAGGCTTTTGGATTATGAGTACAAGTCACTCTTTCAACAAAGGCTTCTTTTTGCTTATCTTCAGATGCGTACGACTATACATGCAAAGGAATTGAGGCGCATGCTTGCATGTTTGCGATCTATAATTCTGTGCAAACTTCTTTAACTGAACTACTGAGTGAGGCCTCGCAAGTTCGAGTTCTAGTATATGAGATGAATAACTGTGGCTGTGCTTTCTTTTGTCATTGTTTAACACGGTTTCAACTGGGTATACTATAGATTGTCCTTTTGGAATCGAGATCACATTTTCCACTGTTGTGGTGCAGTCCAATCTCTGATCTACTAATTGTTTGGAATCGAAGCCAGACTATGGAAAGTATTCTTTTGAGACTCTTAAATACGCGTTCAATCCAGAAGATTCTGGTTTGAAAAGGAAACATGATGATGCTTACGTGAACTAATGAAATGGAGAAAGACGGGCATTTCCGAGCGAGTCAAGTCAGCACTGGGGCAAATACGACGGCCATTTCCGAAGCCCATGAATGCCACTTTCCCTGTATTAGGTCCCTAGTTCAGTTTGCACGAGATTCCATCACTTCAACTCCCGCATACTGAACAATGAATATCAAAACTCATAGTTCAGTCGGTTGATATCACTCTTGAGATTTATCCATGCCAGGTTTTACGATTATTGCACAGAAATTACGACGTCATGTTGTCCTGTGCCCAGATAGATTTGAGAGGAAAAGGGAAGCTTACTTTGTGGCTGTGTGGGTAAAACTTGAGAGGGTCTTTGGAGCCATCGGGGTCATAGTTCGCCGACGCAGGAGAAGCCAACTCACAGCACTTTTGGGGAGATTGTCTAATCCGCCACTAGCAGTTAAACAGTGTCATGCAGCATCCGTCTTTACAATTGTTTCAGGATTCGTGGTGGTTTGACAAACGATATCCACCATATGTGCGTTGCGGGTCAAAGTTTGAATTACTCAAAAAAACAAAAATCAAAAGATAAATCGCAATTATGTAGCTAGGTTTGATGAGATAAAGCTGAGGCTTCAGACTTCTTCAACAAAAAGCAGACGTTACTGCTTACAATGATTCAACGTGCTCACGGCGAATTTCCCGACTGTATTGATGAAGTCCATGAGAGTGATCATCCCCACCTTGGAAAGCGCGAAACGCCTCCAGTTCTTCTGCTGCTCCCCATGGACGGCAGTAGCATAATTATTGTCAGTGAGCTCCAGGGGATAAGCAGGTTAAAATGGCTTGTCATCAATTTTACGGAATGAGCTTCACGTCCACAGTGCCAGAGGCAAGGATCACTGGCTCGCCCGGCAGATGAGTGTTCCATAACTGCAAACCAATTGATAACACGAAGTCTATCTGCATAAACAAGTGATTCACACAGTCATGTGACAACGCTGCTCCTCATGTTAGTGATGCAAGAAACTAGGTACTTTGGCCAATTAATTGCTCTGCTAGGAAATTGTTACAGAAATGGAAACTAGAGGAACCACCCGCGCGTGCTTGGTCTTGCGAGTTCCAACTAACTGGCCATGATTGAGGTGCTGAGTGCGCATGACTTCAATGAACTCTCGGATGAAGAGAAAGACCCATCCACTACCCTCGTGAACGACGTGGCGAAGTGAAGTCCGATGCAAATTCGGCCACCCCCATCTCTTTCAATGACTAGTTTGATAATCAAAGGCGCAGTGTGTTGGTTTCTGACCTTGTTGCTAGTATTGCTAATTTATCCAATTGAAATTGGAAGTAACGTTATGTGCAGTGATTAGCAGAAGCGAGCTTCAAAGAGAGGGGTCAAAGGTCATGGACAAACACAACAACTGCAGCAGGCTGAAGGATAGTGGAACGGAGACATCCTTGAACCGGTGTCAAGGTGAGTCTACGGATTAACCGCTGTTGGGCCTCAGATTTGGTCAAGATCAATCAAAATGAGGGTTGTCTCTCACCGCAGTTGTTTCTACAGCCGATCTCAGACATATAAAACATAACCAAATAAAATGCAATGTAGATATGTTCATGGAAAAACCCGAAAGGCAACAATGTTAATGACCACATTCGATTGTTCAAGAATTATGTTACATTATCCTCAGTCAACGTGATCGTATGCATGGCAACGAGATGAAAAGAGAATATTACCTCGGCAACAGTACTTCACACCGGCCTCGTACACCCAGATGTGAAACGGCAACTTCGAAGAATATTGTCAGGAACTGAGCTGTCATGTTGAACTTCAAACTTCAAACTGACCATGCCCTGAGTAAGAAAACTCTAGAGCACTGCACCAAATGAATACAAGTGCTTCGATTAAAGCTACTGTTACAATGGTGACAATCTTTGGTATCCCCGCCAGGGGATAGACCAGTAATAGGACTTCTATGTGGTTGTTCTCACTTCTATGTGGTTGTCCTCACTATAGTTTCTCGGCTCTAAGTGGCTCTAGGTGGTTCTACCATGTAGAAAAATAAGCCTCGAGTATGAATATGGAATCCAAATGTGGTATCTCCATTATGACATTCTCACGTTGATGATACTAAACGTTTTAGCTAAAAAATTCGCTAATACCTCCCCCTTGACAATTTCTACAATTACATACAGGGCTAGTTCGACAAGAACATACAAAGAAATCAGCACTTCCAAGTTGCAATTTGAAAAGCTCGAAATCTTCGAGTGAACACTCTAATAAGGAACACCAGCAATCCTGATGTCTTCTTAGCATACAGCTGAGGAGTAAACTTCATGATTCTGTAGTCAACCGTCAGCCTCAAGCTACGTCCAATTAAACAATACCAACTCCATGGAGTAAAAGTGCTCCATCGAGAAGCATAATTGGAGAACAGAGTGCGTGCATAAGATCGCATGATGAATCATTTCCTCTTAAACAAGTTTGGCTCGTCATCCAGTGTTGTGTCTCCTCCACTTCGTTGGCGAAGCGTGTCCTTGTGTAGTCCCGGCTGATGAGGTCTAATTACAATTTCTTCCTCCAATGCCGATCACAAGTACATAGTCATGTTGGGATTCCACGACCGTTGCAGGTCCACTATCTTTGAACTCCGGTAAACTTGGGAATGTTCTTAGATTTTAAGCGGGTACAGGTAACAGTACCAGATCCCAATTGAAGACCTCCTCTAAGCTGCATGCAGACAGATAACCTTTATTTGCAGTCACATTGTATGCATTAGCAAATCACTCGACAAGTGTGGCTGAGTGAAGTCCACCAAGGAGGTGATCTGTTACGAAACGCATAAATAGTCAACTAATTTCAAAAATGGACGAGATTTCTAATGCTCCCATTAAACGACGTCAAAAGCAGAGTAACCTGTGATAGATTTGTAACTGCAACGATATCTCATATTGTGCATGAACATCTTCACTTGCTTGATGATCAGGAACAAGGATACGCTCCTCTTTTGCTTCACTTTTGACATTAACTTGACTAGTGCCCAGCTTGAACGTCAAGTGCCCTACGAATGACGATGTTGTCGTAAAGTTCGACTGAATTGAGGCTGCATCAAGCGAGCATATAGCCCGCACTTGTTCATCAACTCATCGTGGCTACCTTGATCATCAACCTCTCCATCATGCAACATTGCAACTACGTCCACACGTCGGAGCATGGCTAACCTGTGGGCTATCACAACCGTAGTTCGATTACCCACAATCAGCTGATCAATTGCCTCATTGACCACCTTACTTGATTCAGCTTCCAATGATGATGTCGGTTCGTCAATAAGAAGGAGAGGAGCATTTTTCAAAACTGTCCGTGCTATGGCGATTCTTAGCCGCTGACCGGATGTCAATTGTATCCCCTGCTCCCCAATTATAGTGTCATAACCATGTGGTAAACTGCTGATAAAATGATGAGCATTTGCCATCCTGGAAGCTTCCTTAATTTCAGCTTCTGTAGCATTGTGTCGTCCGTAAATAATATTATTGCGAATTGATGTAGAGAAGAGAACAGGCTCTTGGGGGACCATCCCAATGTGACTGCGTAACCATCGTAGGTTGAAGTTCTTCAGATCATTTCCATCAAGCAATATCCTCCCAGATGAGGGCTCATAGAATCTTACCAGGAGAGCAAGAACAGTGCTCTTACCAGACCCCGCGGTCCCCACAATTGCAACGGTCTGACCCGCCTCCACTTTCAAGTTGAAATTTGTCAAAATGGGTACCTCTGAGCGAACTGGATATCTGCATTACAGTGCAACGAGTAAGCTACTTTCGAATGCATTTACCATCGTAGACAGAGACCTCACCAAATTAGAATGCAACTAAAGTCAATTCAGATATTTTTTTTTTTAATAAAATGGCAATCCAAGTAAATATATAACAATCGAGAGAGATCTCTTGATACAACCATACATACCTAAACTCCACATGGCGAAACTCAATACGGCCAGCTATGAAGGGCGGTTTCAAACCCTCTTCATCAGTTCCCATTGTAGAGCTCCGTTCTAGGATACTAAAGACTGGTGCAACCGATTTTCGCCGCCTCATTATAACAGGGCCTAACCCAAATGCCTCCACCAGAATAAAGGTTGTGAAGGTAAATACCAGAAACGCTTTCAGTAAATCTCGAAAGTCGGAGACCTCCTGTCCTTTGATGAGTACAGAACAATAATAAAGGACGAGCGCACTGCAAGCAAAAAGGAAAAACTGAGCTGCACCATACAGACATCCATATATTTGGCCTCTTATTAGGCTTCTTCGTAGAGGTGTCTTCAGCTCGTCGTGAAAGAGCCCAAGAATCTTCATACCACCGGAGAATGACATGACAGTGTGCATATTGGCAACTGCTTCCTCCAAGATATGTCGAGCATCTTTGTGAGCGTCCCTCACATCTCCAGAAAACCCTGAATTCCACATTTGCTGCAGACACCAGAGAAACTGTTTCAGACACAACTAAAGGACAGAACTCACCAAGAAAATATGCTACAGCATGTCACTATTCACTTGACAAACATTCACATCCTTTTTTTGATTCGAGTTACTCCCATTCAAGCTTGAAGGCTTGACATGTTTCACAGTGGACAAATACAACATCCACAACCTTCGTAAAACCAGTGGTGTGAACAGATTGCTTAATTGATTGCCTTCAAGGTGATAGTCAGAGAAAAACCTGCGTAATTGATGCAAAAACAAGGAGTGGTATTGTTGCCAATGCAACAAGTCCGAACCGCCACTCTAGACCCAATGCAAGAGCAAGTGCAACGAAGACAGCAGCAATGTCTTGCATGAAGACTGACAGACGGTTGCTGAAAGTGGCCTTCACGTAGGCAGCATCATGTCCTAATCGTATAGACAACACCTCTGGAGAGTTCTCTTCCTTATCAAACCAGCCCACGTCGTTACGTAACATAGCTGTCGAAGCCAAAGGAAAAAATATTAGTATGATAATTATGTGACGTAAATCAATACTATTATTTAAATCTTTTAACAAGAAATAATGCAAGCTTTTTGACAATAATCTAACCAAACGGCAACGATTCCGACTGCAGAGGAATAGCAGATGGAGTAGATAATTCTAAAGCATATAGTACTTGAGCAGCTGGTAACTCAGAAGAAAAGTGAAAAGGCGTTTACGTTTGTTAGTGGTAGAACAGAAAGTAACAAATAACCGATGCAGATATGTTAGGTACCTGAGAACATCAGCCGACGGACACGTTCGGTCATCTTTTCTCCCATAATTCCGAAATAAAAGTGCTGCAGAAAATTCGCCAAAACGGTTGCCAGTGCCAACCCAACAAGTATTGAACACCATTTACTCAAATCTTCACGCAACTTAGTTTGGCTCGAGTAGTAGTAAACCTCAGCGATTTGAACCAACAAAAATGCAAAGAGGGGATTGAGAGACCCAAAAAGGATTGCTCCCAAACTTCCTAAGAAAGCACAAAACCACTCCGGTGAACTCAGTTTGGCGAGTTTCCAAAGTGAGGGTACGCTTGCGCCTGTAGATTCATCCTCATTAGTTTGGTACTCCTTACACTGAGAAGGTGATCTACTAAACGTCTTGGAATGAGACCGTTCATCTTCTGGGTCAGTTAAGAGAGGAGATACAGGAGACTCTGGACGAGAGGAGTTAGAAGTCTGCCGCTGCAGATTGATCTGCGAAAGAGACTCACTGTACACGTTATCGAAGCTATCTTGTCTCTTGGCAGCTTGTTCAGGCTTCAAACTTTGCATCTCGATATTATTATTACCATTCTCTTTAGAAATTTGCACAGGAGGGGGGGTTAAAGTAGAGGGTGGTGAATTAATCGCTGCAATGAAATCGGGTCGGTCTCGGACACAGTGTTGTCGCTTGAGGGACGGTGATTTCACCATGCGTGGAGATGGTGGCTTGCTATAGTTCGGCGATATACAGTCTTGTGGTGGAGGGGGAACAAACAGCTTTGGAGGAGCTCTGCAGCCAAGGATCAAGGAGAGTCGACGTCAAGCCTCGCAGAATACAGCTGGGCATACAATGTTCGATAAAATAAAGAAATAATAAAAGGATGGAGGCAAACTGGGAAAATGTGAGAAAATTCGAAAGATTAATACAGGGTTTCTTTTCTTTTCTTTTCTTGGGGGGGGGGGGGGGGGGGGGGGGGGGGTTGCACACTGTCTAATTCATGCATCTGCATAAATAGTGAAGTAAAACAACGCTAAAAGCTTGTAGAGCTCGAAAACCAACACAGATTCGAGACTATTCCAGCTGTAACATCAAAAAAGCACAGGTGTACGGTACAACTCCTCGAACTGACTAGAGCATTTACATGCAACCCGCACCAAGACTAGATATAGCAACCATTTTTTGAAGCTCACTTACCTCCTAGGCTGTTTCGCAGTTTCCTGCAGTCGAATCAGATCAATGTAAGCGCCATCCAGACTCATCAATTCATCATGAGTTCCCATTTCCACGAGCTGTCCTTCATCGAGGACAGCAATCACATCAGCATTACGGATACTCGAGAGACGATGTGCTATTACTATGGAAGATCTACCCATCATCAAAATATCAAGAGCGTTTTGTACACTCTGCGCAGCCTCCGCATCTAAGGTGCCTGTTGCTTCATCAAGCAGGAGAATTCGAGGATTCTTGAGGACCGCTCTAGCGATTGCTATTTTCACTTTTCTTTCTTCTGTGAGCTTGACTCTGCTGTCACCCACCTACAGGAACAAAACCATAAAAGAATGTGAAGCAAGTCCATGATGAAAATTACAAGGTGCTCAAATAGGACTCGTGCTGACGATAAATCAGCAATTGATGATTCTCAAAGAAGGCCACAATAACCTTCAGAATACTAATAAGTTACTTGATCAGGGTAGACCTTAGCCATCGACAACACAAGTAATTCAACATAGACTTTCCAATCACATCTGAACCACGTAGAAAGATTTAGAGTAATAGGGGCACTCGCATGGTTCAACACCTGTGATTCGTAACCTTCTGAAAGGGAGCTAATGAACGTATGTGCATGTGCAATTTTAGCAGCCTCTTCAATTTCATCTTCGCTAGCTTCACGACCATAGCAAATATTCTCCTTGATAGTACCCTTGAACAGTGCGGGTTCTTGACTCACCAATCCTATTTGACTTCTAACCCATTCCACCTTAAGTTTTTTTATGTTTTCTCCATCGAGAAGTACCTCACCTGCGATCATTGAACACTTCAGAACATATAGAAAGTGAATAGCAGAGATGCAGTTCAGAGTACCACAGCAACAGGCGCAAGGTTCCTCAGGAACCGTACACTAGGATATTCCTTCTTTAGTTAGAATCACCTTCAGAGGTAGAAACTAGACGTCTTTACAATCACCAGTACACAGCGGGATAACGTGATCTTCTGCAAGAATCTGAACTTTTCTTTCCACACGATTTGTGACAGATCACGATAGCTTGATAAGAAAAAAAAATTATTTCTCAAAAACATGACCCAAGAGACATAAATTTAAACAAGCATCAAAGCTAACTCCAGCGGTGCTTCTCCAAGTTAACAACTATAAGGTATTCCATACAGACTTACTTGCTTACAAAACTTGAGATGACAGATTTGCAAATGTCAAAATCAATTTAAAGCAGTAGCTGTTGAAATCACTAACCCAGGGTAGGATCATAGAACCGCTCGATAAGGGCAATAATGCTGCTCTTTCCAGATCCATTGCTGCCTGCTAGTGCCAGCGTCTTCCGTGCCGGAAGAGAAAGATAAAGCCCACTAAGTACAGGTACATCTGGCCGTGATGGATAGCTGAAATAAACATTACGAAGTTCGATATTTCCTTGTACAACATCAAGTGTGAGTTCTCCCTCAGTTTCACTACCACTTGCCGTGGGATTTGAAATGAATGCTGCAAAGAGCCTGTGTGCAGCTATCTGACCCTGCTCAAAGACCTGGTAATTTGTAGCCGACTGATTCAAACCTCTGTATCAAAGACAGGGGAAAGCGTTGTAAGAAACTATGATCGTTTTCTAGTGGATAATCAAGTGCCATGCAGACGGTACTTAAGGTTTCTAGAGGAATAATGCAGGAAAGTAAACGGGAAAACTTACATTCCACTTAGTATGATGGCAAATAGAGCCACAAATATTTCGCCACCATCTTTTCCATTCGCAATGAGATAATGTCCCACCCACAGTTGCAATGCACATGAACAAATAGCAATTCCATAGATAAAACCGAGTCCAAGGCCTTGGACTAAGCTAATCTGCACTCCATATTGCAATGTAGGCTGCAATGCATTTGCATATGCATACTTCACAACTGTCTCATTGGCAAACGCGTAAACTGTCCGAATGTGCAAGAGTGCCTGGAGTAGAAAGTACCAGCGGTTAAGTCACCCAGATCCGAGCTTGTTCGAAGTGCTGTATACAAAATAGTTTAAGCTACTTGCGCCAATAGCATCCTCGCTAAACAGAAATGAATATGCTAATAAATTGTCGCACATCGAATAAATCATATCATGTGCAATTCCATTTTGACATGTTTCACCATTTTCAAAAATATTTCCACTCCTTGGTGAGATGCTGGCAGCTACGATGGAGCGCAATTTGTACAAAGAACTAAAAAAACCTACCTGTTCAGCAATACTTGCCGCCTCCGAATAGGAATCATGTACATGCTCTGCGAGCCGAGTAAGAGCAATGTTCGATACAACACCAGCAGCTACTATAAAAGGCCCAGTGGCTACTGTTAGCAGGGAAATCTGCCAACAGCTGACGAATCCAACTATAACACTAGCTACACATGTTGCCATGTTATGGATATAATTGCCAATCTGTCACCATCAGCAGATTCCTTCACATCAGTATTGCACGTCAAATATCGAGTCGGCTACCTAGCAATGAATGGGAGTATGTCGCGTTCTATTAAACCAACTTGGCACAATCCTTACATTCGAAATTGACAACTTTCAACACACTTAAAAAGAACACCAATCGGAAGCATAAACAAGTAGAAAATTCGTGTAGGAATACTCCTGCACGAACTTAGACAAGAGACAAGTACGAGACAAATACGTGAGAGACAAGAGTTTGACATGAAACCTTTCGCGCTAAGCAGAGGGAAAAGATAGAGCAACACCCAAATTCTCTAGATGTTAACTACCAGGGTGAGCTTGAAATAATTAATTAATAAACAAACGAACAAACGAACGAGCAATCACGGAGAGTGGTGTACATCAATTTCCAGAGTCTGTCAGAATTTTAAATCGTACCTTCTCACTAAGGGCAGAATGTACAGAAAGAATGTCATTTGAAATTTGGCTCACGTAGGCTCCATTCCCTGCCATATTATCAAAAAACACCAAATCTTGCTTCAATAGGTTCTGTACACCTTTGGATCGAATTTCTGATGTTTGTCTCTCCCCTGTGTACAGCCAGCACGCCACCTCTGCCAGGACGAATGACAGAATGGTCAGAAAAGCGCACTGCCAGTGAGCATCACAACTCCCGACCAAATACGAATCGGAGGTCGTGCATTAGGTTAAAGAGTACCTCACCAAAACTATTACAAATAACGGGGCATAAGCTTAGACTAAGCTCACTGGGAACTTGCATCAACTTACAACTTCTAATGCATAGCATGTGCTCAAGGTTGAAATGATCACATAACGGTAATTCTCCATCAAAACTTGTTACTGCTAAATGCATGCATGTGTGACATGAATTATCAATTAAGTACAAATGTAACTACAAATATGAAATACTTCTCCACGTTAGAATAATTTCTCCCTCCCTATGCACGAACTTATACTCGAGTAGTACTGAAATATTTACCCATCCAACTTGCCACAAGCACTGCTGCAGCAATATAAACAATGTACAGTGTATGCTGCAACCACAAAGACAAGAGTCAGAGACCATCATCATGTGCTGCGTATCTCAAACAATGAAAACGCATGCACAATGTCATCAACCCGACCATGTCTTCAAAGAACCACGCTTGACGTTTATAGAGGTCGCACATTGCTCAAATAGAAAGTAGCTCAACTTGTCATGTTCACACAGTTAATGCCCGAACAAGATCCTCTCAACCTTCCTCTTTGAAGAATTTTGAACAGTAACTATGAAGATCAAGATCAATAAGAAGTGCTTTACCCTCAAAATTTCGTCACCTAGGGTCTGAAAGACACCAGGAGAAAGCTGTGACCCAAGGCTTGCATCAAGATCGCGCTGATATTCCCCAAACAAGCTAATTATTTTCCCCAAGATGAACAAGTAAGCTGGCAGTGCAGCTCCGTGAACTGCAGCCGCAACACTTCCCAATATCATAAGAGTCCAGTCAAGCGGGTCCGCGTAAACAAAAAGCCTAAAGAATGGAACTGATGGAGGAGGTTCATCCTCCGCCTCCTGCTCGTCGTCCACTGAAAGAGATTCCACCTGTAATGCAGTGCTTTAGTCTAAGCCTAAACTGTAATTAATATCATTGCTCACCAAACACGTATTCAAAAGGTTAAGAAAACCATACGTTGTGATGCAAATAATTCCTAAAAGGAATCAGTAAGAAAAACATTTCACGGATTTATAGTTTAAAAACTTATTAATTCTGGACATTAAAATAGAAATTATCATGTTCATTCTTGAACCTTCCAGAGATGCATGTTACGAAAAAAAAAAAAAAAAAAAAAAAAAAAAAAACTGTCCTCTGGATTACCAAATTCTTAAGTTTCTGAGGTTAACACTAGATAGAGCAACATGCAGAGGGGAATAGAAGTGAACACGCTCTCTATCTTACAACTTAGGTTAACAAATCAGGCTTCGTATTCACCTGCTCCCGAGCCTCAAGAATGCCATCCAAATACGGGTACGGGGAAGGCGACTCTGGTGGTTCTGAAACCTCAGACACTGGAGTCAGCGGCTGGATGTGGGGGGGCGACATCCCAAAAAGAGTTCTGGAGAGATTCATTTCGCCTTGCTTTCGAAACACCTTTTCAGCCCAATTTCTCCCCCTAATTACAAACCTGTAAAATCCAATAATAACCCCTGAAGTGCTTTGCAAAGATAGCTTCTGTAGGTTAAATAGTTGGCTGCCTTCTGAGATCTAGTGAATGCAGGGAATCCAACTCCTAGACCTTTATTACCCCCTATATCCCTTCTTTCAAATGAATATATCCATCGCCCTGTCAGTATCTTTTCCAAGCTCGCACTCCGTTCAAACTTTCAAATGCGCGCATAGACATCTTCCGTTGCCCTTGCAGAAATTTATGCAAGATCAGTCTCCTCGCCATCATCGTCCATGGGTTCGGAAACTAATCACTGACTCTTGCTCCCTAACGAACCAATTCCTCCATCCCGCAAAGCATTTCTGCTTCAATTCTAATAAACCTCCTCCGCTTCTCTACGATCAGGAAATTTCTTCCTCTTTCGAGAACAGGTATTTTCTACTCCAGTTTAGAACTACGTCAACTATGTGAGGTCTGTCGTAATATCGCTTGAACTCCACCTCAGCTTGCGCAGTGACTTAGACTTTCCTGGTTTTTGGTGGATAGCAACGTAGACCAGATTACTGCGGAATCAAAAGAAACACCGCCAGAACTTAGCCTATGCTCTTTCTACTTCTCATAGAACAATCGCTCAGCACCTTTTTTTTCTCTGCACAATCTGTATTCATACATATATATATATATATATATATATTCTTTAAACTCCTCTTACGCGCACTAAAACTGACCGCAGAGTACAGAAACTTTAGGTTCACTGTTCTTCTAGATCATCGTCAGGTCATGCACGCTTGCGAACTACGCACACACAACACTATTTCGCTTAATCAGTTCCGCATGAGGCCCTCCATTTGAATATTACTCTAGACCTACAGCTGTCTTCATCCAACCTTAATATATCCTCACAAACCAGAAAAATTCGGTCTCCTCGCACCCGCCCTTTTATCTTCGCGGTGCTTGCAAGCAAAACTCGTTTCCTTCGCCCCTCGCTCCCAAGCCCTACACAGAAGATACTCCCTGCAGCTTTCCTAAATCCTATTCCCTGTTACACCTCGACGAGATATCTGTCCTCTCGCCTCTTCAACCTTGTGCCTCCGCTCTGCCCTCACTGCTCCTCTCACATCCTGCACGAGACAACCAAATACATTTCTCGCGTCTAAGAGGACCAACGCCTTCTTCAAATTCTTGGCACCAAAAGTCTCGAGAAAACAAGTTCTCTGGCTCCAATTGCCTTCCAGAAGAAACCAATGCTCCGACACACTCCCCGAAGCTAAACAGGTCGTCCCTATGATCGAAGCCTGCTGCCCTCGCTCATTTACTGCGAGTGCTTTACCATTACTTCATTCCTCCACACCTTCGCGCCTCTTCTTCCTCGTTCAACTCTGTCGTCTCTAGTCCACCTTCCGTCCTGAAGACGCCGTTCAGAATACCCTGCGCAAACTGCTTCCGTATGTCGGACGCAACCAACTTCGTCATGCAATCGGAGGTCGCCGTCAAAATCCTGACGCCCCGCTTCTCATGGACTGTCAGCAGGCTGTCAGAATTCCTGCAAAAATGTCCGCATCCTGGACCCCACGAACCGACCTTCAGTCGAAAACAAAAACAAAACCCTCAGAAGTCGTCGCCGACCGTAAGACGCACTCATCCGCCCCACACAAGACCGGGAGGGGGTTGTGTGAATGTTGCAAAGAGCAGTCCGGCGTGAACGCCGCCCCCAACATCGGGAGCAACTTTCATTGTGGAGTCAACGATAGGGAGAAGACTAAATATTTGTATTACTTCAACAGCTGTACCAGCTTCGTCGAACGGTCCGCCCAGAATAATGGGCTACCAGAGAACGGCGACCGCTCTGGGGCACTTCTGTTGCCTATCAGATGGCAGATTCGGTCCGTCAGTAGGCGTCAGTTTCAAAATTGACACGTCAAAGTAGACGACACCTTCGTCGCTGGGGTGAGAGGCTGAGGGGTGAGGGGCTGGTAAGGCGGGTCAAAAAGGAAAGGTGTCCTTTTCTTCCCCGCCTGCTGCAAGGCTGGCGATCTTTGAGCGCAAAATCTTCGTTCCAAAAATAGATCAACAGCGAATTTCTTGAAAGCGAGCCATCAGCAGACAAAAGGCCCACTGGTTGGTTGCGAGCGGGCCGGGTGGAGTGACGACCTTCACCCGCTCCTTGCCCTTTTCCTTCACCCATTTCATTGACGAAGTTTGACCAATTGAGGAGAAGGAATGAGAAGAAAGGATAGAACTGTTGAGAATGTTTAGAGACACAAGAGTAATAGTAAGTCATACACACACACAAGAGGGTTTCTAAGAAGAGAGAGCTTCACACTCAAAAATCTGATGATCTGGTTGTGTCTCATATACAAGAAGAGAAAAGAGGAGAGGATAAACAATACTTCTCCACTAGATTCTAAATACTGTAGCTATAGTAATTACTGTAGTTTACAGTAAGTATTATGGAGAACATCAGCTACATTTAATGATCTCAACACTCCTTCTCGCTCATCATAATATTTACATAATATAAAATTTATATAGAATTATGATCTATACTTTTCTGTGATCTTGCAAGTTCAACAATTGTTGCCTCATTAAAACCTTATCTAGGAAAACCTTATTTTATTTAAGGACAAAACCATAGATGAAGGAAAAAGAGTACAACATCATTTTCTTTAATTATTTAAAGAACTCATTAACTTTCTTAATCAAGAAAAGCAAATCGCCGCATATCAATGCCATAAGTAAGTCAACGATGGTTGCTTAATGGGAAAGCTTTGGTGAAAAGATCAACAAGGTTATTTGTAGATTCAATTTTTTTAATTATAATTGCTTGATCAATAAACAAGTCATGAATATAACTAAAATACTTTGGATCAATGTGCTTTGTTCTGTTGCCTTTAATGAAATCAACTTACATCTGTGCAATACAAGCATTATTATCTTTATACAAGATAGTTGGAGAATCATCATATGAAAATCCACAGGTTGTTTGAATAAATTTATCAATTGATCGCAACCAAATACATTCTCGAGATGCTTCATGTAAGGCAATAATTTTTGCATGGTTGAATGAAATTACAGTTATTGTTTGTTTCACTGATTTCCATGATATTGCAGTTTCATGTCTTAAAAATACATATCATGTTTGAGATTTAATTGTTACAATATCAGATTTATATCCTGCATCACAATGTCCAACCAATTTTGGATCTGCAGATTTTGTGTAGTATAATCTCAAGTCTTCAGTACCTTTTAAATAACGTAATAAATATTTGATGCCATTCCAATGTTGTAGTGTTGGACGTGCACTATGTCTTGCAAGAACACTAACTGCAAATGCAATATCTGGTCTTGTAGATGTAGCTAAATATAAAAGTGCTCCAACCGCTGTAAGGTATGGATATTGGTCTCCTAATATTTCCTCCTCCTCCTCCTCGCATGGACGGTATGGATCATGACCATCATGACCACGTTCAACCATTGGTGTGGACAATGGATAAGCATCAATCATATTAAATCTTTGCAAGATTCGTCTAATATATGTTATTTGGTAGAGAAAAATGCTACCATCTGTTAGATGCATAATCTGAAGTCCAATGCAGAAAGTTATTTTTTCTAGCATTTTCATCTCAAATTCACGTATAAGTAGATTAATAGCTATAACACATACAGATGTAGTGCTCACTAGGTTAAGATCATCAACATATACAGCGATGATCACAAAACCAATTTTATCTCGTTTGATAAATAAACAAGGGATTAGTGGATCACTTATAAAATTATTTGTAATTAAATAATCTTGAAGACGTTGATACCACATTCGTCTGGATTGTTTTAAACCATACAAGGCCTTACCTAATTTAATACCACGATATTTTCATGGAGCGGGTTCATTTAGAGTTCCTATTTTTGAGCCAAATGGAACTTTCATATAAATATTTGCATCAAGAGAACCATATAGATATGCAATTACTACATCCATCAGATGCATCTCAAGGGTGGTATGAACTGTCATTCCAATAATATATCGAAATGTAATTGAATCCATCATTGGAGAATATGTGGATTCATAATCAATGCCAAATCGTTGAGTAAATCCTTGAACAACAAGACGAGCTTTATAGTGGATTATTTGGCCTTGAGCATCTCGCTTGTATATTAATACCATTTTATATCCCACAAGGCGAGATGTAAGAGTATCTACAATTGGACCAAAGACTTTCTTCTTACGCAAAGAGGCATACTCCTCCTCAATAGCAGTTTTTCATTTTGACCAATCTGAGTGACGCATCGCCTCTTTGATGGTTTGAGATTCAAGATTGTCTTCCTCGTAAGAAAGGGCTTCTATAATCATATATGCAAATGATTCATCTACCATAATAGATGGTCAATCCCAAATATCATCTGTAGCACAATACACAATAGATAATTCTTTACTCAACTTGTTCTTATTCCTTCCAATTCTAGGATTGTTTTTCATAGGAATTGAAGGTACATTATGCATGGATATATCATCATGAATTGGTAGTCCTACAAGATGAGTGACAATTTCTTAAGAAATAATACAAGGATTAGTTAATTTTATAGCTTTCTTCTTAAGTGGTTGCTTATCTAATCCTCGAGTTTTTTTAGTTGTTGTTGTTATAACTTGAGGTATTGTAGTCAATTGCACTGCAATCTGAGCAGGTGCATTCTGAGCCTCATTAATAGGAACTCTTGTAATTCTAGGTGCATCATTGAAGCCATCAAGTGTTTCATCCGTAATTCATTTTAAATGCAAAATCTTAGCAACTTCAGTTTCTATCAAAGATATCATAGGATCGGGATTCATTGTAAATATTTCTAGTGCTTCAAATATGAGTACTTTATTTCTTTGTTGATTGGATATTCTTCCTTGAAGAGATGAAAATACATTTTCTTCAAAACGACAATTTTACAAACGTGCACGTAATAATATGCTAGTTGATGGATCAACAATACAAATAATGCTTGGTGAATCAAAACCAACATATATGCCTTCTTGTCGATGAGCTCCAATGGTACGCCGTTGTCACGGCCATAATCATGTAAGCTAATAATTACATATAGAAATAGGTAGAAGTAAGTAAAAGTAGGTAAAAATAAGTTAATTCTATAGTATTTAATATGGAAGCTTCTTAGAAACTTTTTAGATGCTACTTTGACTTCATAGGTGTCTTTAATTGACTTTTTGGATTAGAAACGTGGTCAACAAGTTGGCCATGTGCCACACATGTTGTTAGCTTGAAGATCAAGCTAACTATGTGGCCCACACGTAGAAAAACTTGCCTTGTAAGTCAAAGCATGTGTCCTACAAAGTCAACACATATTAGAGGTCCTATAGAACGTCGCCATGTAGCCCCTAGTTAGATAGTATATATAGAGACAAGAGTGAAGGCTTCTTCACTCTTGTCAACTCCTTTCTTGCTTCTAGTCTAGTTTCAAGGGTCTCTAGTTTTCTTGTCTTTTGGCAATAGCCATTCCAGTTCCTCTTTCAATATATATACTTATTTATATATATTTTGTTACCTCTCTTTGAGTGAAGGCTCACTTGTCTGAATTATTTTTTTCATCGAGTTCTTGTCCTTGACAGCCGTTGAGGTTCTGGTACTGGAATCCAAGCACGGCAACCAAATACTCGTAAGTAAGATACATTTGAAATACGACCCGAAATGAACTCATGTGGTGAAACAATTTCAAGAGAAGAAGGGCGGAGGCATATTAATGCTGCAGCATATAAAACTGCATGACTCCACATTGATGTAAGTAGATTTGCGTGAAGGAAGAGTGGCCAAGTTATGAATTGTATATGCTTTGTAAATGACTCTGCAAGTCCATTTTGAGCATGTTCATATGGAACACAATATGTCAACTCGATTCTTGTTGCAATACAATAGTCTTCAAAAGACTTTGATGCAAATTCTTTTGCATTATTCATATGCAATGTTTTTATAGGATAATCAGGAGAATGTGCTCGAAAGCGAATAGTATAGATATAAGATTGGCAAACACCATGTTTCGAGTTGATAATAATGAAACATGTGATTGTTTATATGATGCATCAACAAGGACCAAAAAATAACGAAATGGTCGTGATATTGGATTAATAAAACCACAAATATCACCATGTAATCTTTTAAGCATTGGTGGTAATTCTTGTGGAAGTTTTCAAATTGAGGGCCGAGTAATCATTTTACCTTGTATTCATGTATGACATAATTCCATAGAATCTAGATCTGTAGGCTTTAAATTATGCTCAGTTATACATGGAATGATCTTTCTAAATAATGTGGATCTTGGATGTCCCAATCGTCCATACCAAAGAGAAATACGAATCTTTGAGATA